TTTTTTTCTTTTTAGCAGAACTGGAGATTGAACTCAGGCCCTTGTGCTTGCCAGGGAAGCACTTATTCTACTGAGCCATCTCCCCAGCCCCCTTTTATTTTTAAACACTTGTTAAGTGCCTTATGGCCCAGACCCTGGCGTGGCATGGTGACTGTCCCATGTGAGCTTGAAGAAGGCAAATGGTGCTACTGTGGAAGAAAATGCGGGCATCCATTATGTGAGGTGGTCGGTGGTGCGGGACCGGCTCCTTCCAGGGTTTTCCCTGTTGAATGTGTTTGTGATGGAGGAGTGATTAGTTGTGAGACACATACACATTGAGGATTATTATGTCTTCTTGAAGAATTGACATCTTTATTAGAATATAGTACCACCTCGTTATATTTAATTTTTCTTGCTTTGTAGTCTGCTTTTTCTAAAATTAGCAACTCTGATTACTGTTAGAATGTTTATGTGAATATTTTACTTTAGGTGATTTTTAAATTTTTAAAAATGTATATAAATTTTACACTTTTAAAATTCATTATGTTAACATGTGCATTTCACCTATTTTTCAAAATATTTGTTTTCAACAAACATGTAAATATAACAAACATACAATAAATATTCTGTTTTTTAGTGCTTTTGAATATACTTCAGTTTCTTATTCTAGAATATTTTCATCATTCCAAAAAGAAACCTTATCCTTGTTATTTCCTCTCCTCCTCAGCATCATGTGCTGTCTGTCCTTATGAATTTGCTTTTTCTGCACTTTTCATATAAATAGAATCATGTGATCTTTGCTTTCTTTGATTAGTGGTACCCCATGTTTAGCATTTAACAGTACTTTATTCTTTTTATGGCTGAACAATGCTCCACTATATGGATAGACCACATTTTTTTTTTGTCAGTTGGTAGACATTTGGATTCTTTTTAGCAGTTAGAAATAATACTGCTATGAACAATCATGCATAACTTTTTGTTGTTGTCATTTTGTATTTTTTAATGTAACTGATACAGGATCTCACTACACAGCTCGGACTTGTAGTGATCCTCCTGTTTTCAGCCTCCCCAACCCTGGGAGTACAGGTATGCGCCACCATGCCCAGTCTCAGTGGCCAGCTCAGTGGGGCTGGTGCGTCATGTGTTATCAGGGATTGAACCTTGGTCCCCGCACTTGCCAGCGCTTAGTCCAGTAAGTTTTTGAATTAACATCAGTTTTTAATTCTTATCAGGTGTAGTTTTAGAACTGGAATTGCTTTTTAACTTTAACTGGTAATTCTTTCTAACTTTTTGAGAAGCTACCAGACTTCACATTGGCATGCCATTTTACATTCTCACTGACAGTGTGTAAAGGTTCTGTTTTTCTCTTTCTTTTTTTTCCCCCTTGTGATACTAGAGGCTGAACCTAGGACCGCCACACTGAGCTATATCCTCTCCCCCCTCAACTTGACCCTTTTATAAATAATGCCATTCTAATGGATATGAAAAAGGTACCCCATTGTAGTTTTGATTTGCAGGTCTCTGATGATTAGTGATGTTGAGAATCATTTGTATGTTTATTGGCTATTTTTTTATATCTTTAGAGAAGATATAAAGAATATCTCATTTTTAAATTGGCTTGTCTTTTTGTTATTAAGTGCAAGAATCCTTTGTATATTATACATATTAGACTCTTGGAAGATATGTTCTTTGCAGATATTCCTTTGTGTGGTTGTCTCTTCACCTTTTTTTTTTTTTTTTTTCTTTTTTTGGAGGGAGGTACCATGAATCAAACTCAGGACCTTGCACTTGCCAGGCAGGTGCTTATGCTACTAAGCTATGTCCCCAGCCCTCACTTTCTTAATAGGTAAAAAAAAAAGTATTGTTTCTTTGTGCTTTTGGTGACATTTAAGAAACTGTTGCCTAATCCAAGGTCATGGAGACTTCCACTTGTTTTCTTCTAAGAACATTACAATTTTAGCTCTTATTTTTTAAGTCTGATCAATTTTGAGTTAACTTTTTTTTATTATGACATGAGATTGGTGTCCAGTTCCATTCTCTTTCCCTCATTGTTTCTTTTCTCATCCAGTAGACTTGCCATCCTTTCCAAAAATCATTTGACCACAAATGTTTGGGGGTGTTTGTTTGTTTGTTTGTTTGGTGGTACCAGGGATAGAACTCAGTACCTCGAGCTTGCCAGGCAAGCACTTACCCCACTGAGCTATCTCCCCGGCCCAGTGTTGGGTTTTACACTATCAATGTTTATTAAAATATTAGAAATATGTCAAATGAAATAAGTCTGTGTGTGTTTGGGGTTGTCACAGCAAAAGTTGCTGGATTCAGAAGATGCTCTACCTAATTCTTAGCTGTGCAACTTTTTTTTTTCTTTTTCTTAGACTACATGTGTCAAGTTGAGTACTAATTTCAGCCAGTAGCATTTGTTCACTGGCTCTAGGGTGTGGTTTCATGAAGTTCAGATATGGACTGAACTTAAAAACAGTATGTAGCTGAGGCAGGGAAAGTGGCCTTGCCGAGAGTCATACTCCTGTTTAAACTCAGGCTGAACTTGTAGGCCAAGTCCTCTTTGTAGTACCACGTAATGGCAGGTAAGTGTCCGGGATCATCTAGGTACCTTCCAAAACAAAGTGTCCAGGATGATTCTGGTTCCATGTAAAGCTGCAAATGGTTTTTTCACAGGTGTCTGTGAAATTGTGATTTGATTAAAAATCCTTTTATCCAGTTTAATTGCAGCGAGTATCTGATGTTAACAAGTGCCTGAAGAAATGTTGACTATGTACCTTAATAGTTTGTTTTCAAACATATATGTGTATGTTTATTTCACACTGATATGAAGCCAAGCTGTTCCTGAAGAATTGATCTGCTGATTATATTTTCATTTTGTTTTTCTTTGTTGATTGAGAACCTGAAGGCATGTGGGTTGACTCTGGAATCTTTCTGGATTTGTATGATCCTCCTGCTTCCTTCCGTTTTGTCCAACTCAATAAACGTTTTCAGGTCTTTTCAAATCATTCTTTACAGAAGTTTTTAAAAAACTTTTCTCACATTTTCTGGGTTGATACAATGTTTAGTGAAATGTAGTCATAATATATGCAGGTGGCCTTAAGTTTGGTAACCATCATTTCTAACTTTGGTCACCAAAAGGCTTACCTAATAAGAGCCAGAGTTGAGGTGAAGTAACCTATAGGCTGCTGGCTATAGGTGGACACCCTCCATGGGGCACCAGAGTGCCATGAAGGAGAGCAGAGAGCAGAACCTGTCAGACCTATGTGTGGAAATCAAGCTAGCTGCTGAACACCTCTGGCAGCTCACTCGGTGTGTGTGCAGTGTTAACGCAGGCGTAGGTGTTCATGAAGAAACAGGTTATTTGGGGAGAAGCAGATTATACAGTGGCACGTTAGGTTGTGTGTTTGTGTGTGCATGTACTAGTGTGTGTACATGTGTGTAGAAACAAGTCTGCAAGAAACGGAAGCACAGTGTTAAATAGTGAAAACTGCGTATTAATATTACTTATCTCTAAGGCATGAAAGTGTGTTTTTACTTCCATTTCTTATATAAATGAACGTTGCATGAAAGTTTTTATTAAACATATTACTTGTAAAATTAAAGGAGGAGAGCTTTTCCTATTTTGACAAGGACCTGCCCAAAGTGTGTCATTTTGAAAAATAAATTCCCTGGAGAAGGGGGTTGCAGGAGGACTTGGTGCCTGTGCCTGCTAGGAGTGTTAAGTGCCTGTTAGCACAGGCAGCCAGGAGGCTTCTGTCTAGCATTGTGGCTGTGTGAGGAACTGCAGTGACCTTTCTGTCTCTCACATACTTGGGTTCTGAGGTTGCATTTTGTTCCTTCTCGTCATTTTGTGTAGCACTGTCTTCTGCCCTTTGTTGTAGATCTTTGCTGTAGTTATAACCTTGCACGTACTGAAGTTCAGGTGCAGCTCTACAAAGTTTGGACTTTTCCAGCTGCGTCTGGCTTAGGTCTGGCTGCTGTGCTCAGCTCCTTCCCACTGCTGCCCTTGAGGGTGAATATGTTGTGCCCCTGTGGCAAGATGTTCTGCTCCTGGACTAGCTGGGTGGAACTATACTCTACACTCTCTGCAGGGATTGCAGCTGCAGGGTTACACCTCAGGCATGTATGCCAGGCCTGAGCTGTGCCTGGAGGGGGCAAGGTGAAGTAGGGGGAAGAGGAAGCTCTCCCACACACTCACTGGACCTGGGCTAAGACTGGGTCCTGGGGTTCCCAGAACACCGCAAAATTCCTACTCAGCGGGCGGGGTGGGGGAGGTACTGCAGAGTGGTGGGGGCGGCCCGAGGGGCTGGGAGAGGGTCCGGCGCACAGTGCGCCTGGGCTGGGACTGGTCCTGCCGGCGCAGGGTAGCAGGAAGCTCTCCACACACTCACCGGACCTGGGCTGGGACTGGGTCTCTGTCTCTCACATACTGTGATGTCATTGCAATGGTTTTTCCTTTCCCGGTTAAATCTTTAGGAAGATTTTGATGTGGATCATTTTGTGTCTGACTGCCGTAAGCGGGTGCAGCTAGAAGAGCTGAGAAATGACCTGGAGCTATACTACAAGCTGCTGAAGACAGCCATGGTTGAGCTCATCAACAAGGACTACGCAGACTTTGTCAACCTCTCCACCAACCTGGTGAGCTTGACCCATAGCCCTGCCCATCACCACACCCGTATGTATATTGAGTCTTTAAAGTTCAGTGTTTGGGCCTGGGAGATAGCTCAGTGATCTAAGCACCTACCTGGCAAGCACAAGGATCTGGGTTCGATCCCTGGCACCACATTCCTTGCCAGTCCTGGAATCCCAGGCGCTCCAAGCCAGCCACTGAGACTGGGCATGGTGATGCTCACTGTAATCCCAGTGTGAGGGAGGCTGAGACAGGAGGATCACTATGAGTCCAAGCTGTGTAGTGAAACCCTCTACCAAATAAATAAATAAATTTTTTTAAAAAGTTCAGAGGTTTTAGAAACCTTTGATTTGATTTTTCTCCAGAAATTTGAAGTGATCATTAGTCTCATTAATAGAACTAAACTTTCTGGTGTACATTTTTCTTTTAATTCTTGCTTATGTTAAAGGCATCACTTGCTTATTTTTGAGTAAGAACCGAATATTAGCAAAGGGTGAAGGTGGTGGTAGCAGAGTGGTTGTCTTGTTAGCTGCTTTCTCAGTGTGTACCAGGAACTCACACTGCTTATGCTAATTTGCCAGAGTAAATGTCAGCTGTTCTCAAGGAAATGTTTAATTTACTTTCTGGTACATATGTTAGCCAGAGCTAAGTTGAGGGGACAGTGATGAGGATTTATCTTCTGGAGGCTTGCTTTTATAAACTGTAGGAATAATTGATAATGAGCATGTGAGTTGTTTGTAAAAGCTGTTTTAGCAAAAGAGTTGTTTAGAAATGCTTGAGTTTGGACGTTTGCCAAAGTTTGCCGTTTGGTCTTGTTCATATTTTATTTTACTTTTGTTAAGGTTTTTTTGTTTTTTTAAATTTTACTTTTAAATATATTTGTCTAAACAAGTACAAAAAGTAGCCATCTCCATGAGAATTTTAAGAACCATTTAAAGTAATGAGCTCTGTATTTGCTTTCAGGAAAATACATTTCAGGTAACTAAGATAAATGTTTAAGTAGGATTAGAAACTCAATTTTATATCCACTCTGTTTAATTAGTATTTTACTCAAGAGCTGCAAGGGGCCGGAGAAATGGCTCTGTGGAATAAGCGCTTCCCTGGCAAACGCAAGGACCTGAGTTCAATCCCTGGTTCTGCAAAAAAAAAAAAAAAAAGTTATAAGAAATACTCAGATAAGATTTCATTCATCAGATGATTCCTGTCAACCAGTCAAATTTCATAAATTAAAGTATTTATCTCCAGTTAAAAGTTTTTCATTCA